GTCTATGGAGAGCACAATATGTACCTTGTTGTATCTTGGGGAAATCCATCGAAGAGAAGCATTTGCATATTTGTGCAGCAGCTAATCAGGCCCTAATATTATGCAGAGCAGAAGTGGAACTCTTTAGCGAAGCCTATCGCCCTTCAACTATTTTTGCCCACAGCACAGTGTGGGAAAAGCCAACTTGCAGTAAAATCATTGCATCTTCTGTGTTTACTTGGCGGTTCAGTGCTACAGATGTTCTTTGCTATAAGTCGATGCAGTCTTCGTGTAAGGTAGACAGTGCCATTGTTCATAATTCCTCATGGAAAACCAGTGGTCGCTGTGAAGGCATGCCTTTATATTGGTGGTCTCTTCAAAATGAATTTTCCACACTATTTTCTGCAACTAAAGCGAGCGTGCTGCACCACATTGATTGGTGGTCTGATTTTAAATTTGTACATCAAGCTCATGCTATTGGTCATGCTACTTTGCATTTGGGATCTGCAAAACAGATGGATACTAGGATCCCTGAAGCTCTTAGAACACTCTATGTTCCAGATACTATGCAGCCTGAAGCTCTCAGGACACTCAATGTTATTCAGTTGGATAATGGAATTTTAAGCATTACAGTCCAAGGGCAGTTGAAGAATCCCTTTATTGTTCATGTGCATAATCTTGGTAAACTGAAAATGGATGCTTACCCCTGCTGTATTCTCGCGAGCTCTGTTCCAGAATTAAACCATGCTAGTGTCCATGCCTTTGATTCTAAGCCAGTTCTGCAAACAAAATGTGCAACCGTAGTGTCTTGGGGGCTTACAGCTCAAGAGATATACTTTCTATGTCACACGGCAAGACTCAGTTACAAGATGTGGCACATACAGCTTGATGGAAATATATCTTTTGGTGGTGAAGCTAATGTTTATCTTTCACTGGAGTGGCTCAAGCTACCGGTAGTGGAACTTCAGTTCTCCACTCCGGGTGGCTATCTTTTCGGTTATAAATATTTTCCTATGGATCTGGAGTTGCCTTTTGATCCAGGAGACCATAAGTTACAACAGGTTCTTCTTAAAATTAGTGGTGTATCCATCGGATATATACATCTGCACGAGAATAGAGGAGCTTTGCCATATCATTTGCCCTAGTGGTGTACAACGCTATATTTCACGATGGAAGTTATGCAAGTTGACAGTGGGTGTTTTTATCTGGTTGTATGGCTCCTCGGCATCATTGGAGAGTTTGATCTCACCACATTATGGTGTTTATTGGAGGACAAAATGTCAAGAAGGGCGACTACAACTGATAAGAAAGTAAGCAAAGTGGTTGGTTATTATATTCTTGCTGTTTTTGATGTTCTGAGTGATGGAACCATATTCCAATCTCGGAAAGCATTGTACATGTTGCCTGAACCCAGCCCTAGGTGGACGCTCACGAAGTGGCATATGTTTGAGATAAATTCCAACACGAATATCTTTCTAGCAGTTTTGGTTGAAAACAGTTGCACACTAGGGAGTTTCATAGTTGTCAAGTATACTCTGCTCCTACCACATTCCATTGGTGTTCAGGGAGGAATTATGTTACATACTCAGAACCTGCATGGTCACCCAGCTTGCTCAGACTACTCGGAATATGTATGCACATCATGTTATCTTGACCCGAGGGACGGAGAAAACAACCCAATTTTTCCATCGGATATGGCAGTGATCTCTGCGCAGCTGAAGCGTGACAACTTTAATATCGCTTGGAGTAGTTGGCATCACATCTTTCGGGTCGACTGGCCAAACCCATTTCTGCAGCAACAGGTTATTAAGCTCGTAGGAGTACCCGAGAGACAATCTCCATGGGACCCGGGTGGTGTCCGCTTCGTCGACATTATTGAACTTCTCATTGAGCTGCTAGTACCATGGGATCCGGGTGGTTCACATCACCGGCTTGAGGACAAGCCGCATTTTAAGGGGGCGAGAATGTCATGCCCCAGAGGTCATGCCCTCTTTGTGGGACTGCCCTGGAAAATGGGCCGTGGAACTTGGGCTAGGCCTAGTGGCAAGGATCTGGAGCAATGCTATATAAAGAGGCGCGCGTCACAGGAGACGGGGCGAACGATTGAAACGTCTGAAGCCTCTCATCCTTTTGCTCCTGTTCCTCACCTCCCTGCTATCTGTATCTCCCTCTTGTTGCTGATTCTCACCTCAAATCTCTTCTCTTGTATCCGAAATCGGTATTGATCTGATTGCTCACCCCATGTATGTGCTTGGGTCGTGACAGATTCCTTCTACCACCCAAAGATTACATTGTGCTAATATCCTCCCTGTCCCAATTTTGTACAGGCGTTGTTCATACTCTTGTGGTCGACTGATCAGGCAGATCGGTTCTCATATTATTTTTATTTCAGGATTTCGTGAGTTGATAATCTCCAATGGCCTCTGGACAAGTAGTTTCTTCGTCCGGGCTGCAGATCTTATCCTTTCATCTTTTACCATCCATGTTTTTATACAGTTCCTTAAATGACATGCTGATGTGTGATTCATACCATTGTGTCTTTTGCTTCTGTATATGCCAGGTTACTTGGAACAATAATACACTAAAATACGCAAAAACCATAACCATGCTGTTCTAGAGGGGGTCAAAGCCTTCACATCTTCTTCTTCTATCCATAAACGAGCAAAAACCCAACAATAATTCTGTGAATGCTTTCTTCCCTAAATACACATGCGACACACAAAGGAAAATCGTTTGGCCCGTATTAGATACTGAAAGCAGGAAATATTAATTTCAATGTTTTGGTTGTATGTTGTGATTGATGTTTGCAATTGACATTTTTCATCAGAACTGAGATAGTCAAGCTTTCAAAATAAGGGAATAGAAAAGTTGCAGACCAATAGCGTGTTCACATGATTTCCCCGTTAATCATGTTGAGGTAATCCAGTGACCTAGGAATTCTCCTGTAGGTATCAAAGTAACTGAATAGTTCATTTCTCTACTACCGTTTGTTAGCGATTACCATTCTCCAAGATGGTCTGAAAGGATAAAATAAACAGTTACCAAATTTTAAAGTTCTACCAAAATATATTCCCGAATTAATTGGACCGGTAGTTTTTAGAAGATTGTTCATTTCCTATTTTAGTGACTCCATGAATATTTGTAATGAGCTTAGATTGTCATCCAAATGAAGAGGCTGTTAAATTTCAGTGTTGTTAATTTAAATTTGATGGAAGATATCTTACAATGTGACTTTACAATATATTGATTACCAATCTGATGTTTGATAGGTCATAGGTTAGACATTCCTCTACTACTGTAGGTTCTACTATTTTTACACATAACTATCTATATACTTGAATGAAAGCAAATACACATACTTGTATTGCTGTTTTGATTAGGTTCTACTATATTTGCTCGTCCGTATCTAATATTGATGATATCCATGTGGCCTATAGACTATAAATTCCTTTCATTGATATGCAGGTTATAGAAGCTCATTTTCTGATATTTTGAAGCTCATCTTCAAGTTCATTACATGTGCCAGATGGTTGCCGTACTCTCCATTTACAAACTACGGTTGGGCCATTCCTTCTTTCAAAGTAGATACTATCCTCTCTAGGACTATACACTTGAAACATTGTAATTTGAAATGGATGCAGGTTCCATCTTTGTGCTAGAGATAGCTTTCAAGGCATGAATGAAAGCTTAGCTTCCTGGAATTTTTTTTGCACCTGCTAGAAATATCAAGTTGCCTTCGAGATGTGTATGAGATAGATCCTTCCCACATTTCGAAAGCCTTCACGCAAGAATTGGTTAGAATATCAGATTATATCATCTCTTTTTATGAATATATACAAAACATAAAAAAATGTAAAACTTTTAGCGAACAAACCATTCACATCTTCTCATGTATTTCTAGCGTCCGACAAGATAGAAGAGTGTGGCAGTGAATGCCAAGTCACCCCTTATTACTACCACACTAATTCACTGCAAATCAATTAAAAATCAAATAAATTCCCCCATTCAATAACTTATAAATGTATGTGATGGTTTATGTAAATTTAACTAACACGCTATGTATCTCATAAATTTATGAAAATTCATATCAATCCATCGTCACAATAGACGGGCGCAGCAACGCGCGCCATCATGATCTAGTTTATTTGACAAAAGCCTCATGTACAAGTCTCTCTGATCCTTCTAGCTGTATCATTACTCTCTATATTTTTTTGAAAAGGAGGATGACCCTCGACCTCTGCATCAATCGATGCATGTAGCCATATCATAAATAAAAGCGTAACAAAGTCTTAAGATCCAAAGAAGCTCATAAAACGAGCAGTAGTCGAAAGAAAATAAGTCTGAAAAGCGCCACATCCGGCGATATAGAACAGAAAAGTGCCACATCCGGTGATGAAAAACAAGCTATGATGCTTACACACCTAGCCTATTATTAGCTCACCACCCAAATCGGCTGAAGATAGCCCGTGCTACCGTCTCCCAACGGTTGCACTCAATGACCAAAAGCTCTCTGAAATCCGCATGAGTGAGTAAGGAGCACATACGGATCCAAGCTGTACCTCTGTAGATAACCTGCAAAAAATTAGTGAATTTTGTCTCATTAAAAATCATATCATTCCTAGTGTTCCATATAGCCCAGAAAAGTGCACATATTCCTATCCGAATATGTTTAGCTATGTGTATGTCTACTCTGTCAGAAGACAAAAGAGGTTTGGAAAAAACTGGGGTTGTGGGGGGTGATTAAAGAAGCATGTGTTGTTGATAGGGCAGGAGAAGCAATCCTTGAATTTTTACTTCTGAAGCCAGAAAATGAAATAGCTACTCTAGGAATCCAGAATGTACGTGAACTAATAGCTATAACCGCTTGGTATTTATGGTGGGATAGACGTAGGCTGGTTCATGAAGGTAAGGCTCAAAACGCACAACTATCCTCCATGGGGATTAGGGCAATAACAACAAACTATGTAAATGCCCATTCCCCGAATGCATCTATTAAAAAAGGAGGATGGAGCAAACCTCCTATGGGACTTGTTAAGCTAAATACTGATGCTTCGTTTGATCATGATCGGCTTAGTGGTACAGCTAGGGCTGTTCTCAGAGATGATAAAGGAAGATTTATTGCCGGCGGAAACTGGAAGTTTGACTGGTGTGCAGATGTTCTGACAGCGGAAGTTTTGGCTCTAAGGTTTGGATTATTACTTGCACAGAGGGCGGGATGCAATCGCCTAGATGTCAACTCAGACAATATTGAAGTCATCAACACAATGAAGAATGGAGGACAATCAGCGGGAGCGGCGGCGACAGTTTTTGATGATTGCTATTTTTTGGCTTGTGATTTTTCTCTTACTAGGTTTGAGCATTGTAATAGAGAGGCAAATAGGGTGGCTCATGAACTAGCTAGATTAGCGAAAATTTCCGTAACAAATGAATATTTTGAGGAACCCATGGATGAAATTGTACCTCTTCTTATGGACGATGTAACTGTTATTTGCAATTAATAAAGCTAACGATTTATTTCAAAAAAAAATGTGTATGTCTACTCCATTAAGCCACGTCCCAAATAACGTGTTTATGCTCCTTGGGGGATGAACGTTAAAAGCTATATGAATTGATTGCCACAATAATGTCGTAAGAGAACATTCGAGAAAGAGGTGTTTAATCGTTTCATTTTGATCACAGAAACAACACATGGAGTTACCAACCCAATTCCTTTTCACCAAGTTATCTTTGGTTAAAATGACTTCTTTATGGACGAACCACATAAATATTTTAATTCGAAGCGGAATTTAATCTTCCAAATGTGCAAAGACCTCAACAATGGCCCGGAATCAATTAGGTCCAATACCTGGATTTCACTGAGAAGATTCCATTCGTGGTTAACTTCCGGCGAATTGTATCCGCCTAATCGGATAGGTGAACATCCATCAACCTACGGACCAAGTGCAACCAAGCATTCCAACGTTCCCCAACCAGGGATCTCCTAAATTGGATATTAAGCGGTATCAAGTTTAATACCGTGGCGACATAATCCTCCTTACGTTGCACAATATTATATAAGAAGGGATATTGCAAAGCCAAAAGCATCTCCCCTAGCCATGTATCCTCTCAGAATCTAGTAGTGGTACCATTACCAACTAGGAACTTCACCCGTTGGAAGAAAGTTACTTTCGTCCTCATTAACCCCTTCCAAAAGGGTGAGTCGACAGTCTGTATAGCCATTTGCTAAGCAGACATCCATTCTTTACTTCTAAATTTTCGATCCCTAACCCGCCCTGGTCTTTTGGTCTACAAATGATATCTCATCTAGCCAATCTGTACTTCTTCTTGGCCTCATCACTTTTCCAAACGAATCGGGATCTATAGAAGTTAAGTCTTTTTCGTATCCCTACCGGTATTTCAAAGAAAGATAGAAGGAACATCGTCAGGCTCGTCAAAACCGAATTTATCAAAACCAACCGACCTTCGTAAGACATTAGCTTGCCCTTCCAGCAGCTCAGTTTCTTTTCAAATCAATCTTCTATACATTTCCATTCCTTGTTCGTTAAACATCTATGATGAATTGGGATCCCTAGATAACTAAAAGGCAGGGATGCCATTTCACAGCCGAACAAATTTCTATAGTCAACTTGTTCCTATTTGGCTCTCTCAAAGCAGAACAATTCGCTTTTATTGAAGTTGATTTTCATCCCAAACAAATGTTTCTTTGAGTAAAAGCGAATTGTTGGAAGAAACACGTGCACAGGGGAAACATATACCTTTTATGTTGGGTAAAAGCACTACACTTCTTGGAAGAAACATTTGTTTGAAGATCAACTTCCTCCTTTTGAGTTGTTGGATGGGAGATTGCATACTTTTAGTTAAGTATTTCAGACAAAGATCAGTTCAACTGAAAGATGTGTTGTTTGTTCTCATTAGTATTGTTGTTGTGTTTTGTGTATATCAAGATGGCTAATGAGCTTCCTCTTTGTGACATTCTAGATGAGTTTCAGAAAGGTCACAACCACATGGTTGTGGTTGTTGAACGCGATAAGGCCATCTCCAAGGCGGACCCGCAAACCGCCCGCATCAGTCCAGACTGCCGAAGCCATTCAACGGGGGCCTGTATCGGTCCGCCAGACGGTCCGAATGCGTTTTCTCCCACAAACCAGAGACAAATATGGGGGAGGTTTGCTAGAGTCCGGACACCAGACACGAAGGACTCCGACACCCTCGGCCCACCAAAAACCCTTCCGGAGCCCACACCTCCATCCTTCCCATTTCCCTTCTTCCTTCTTTCTCTCTTGCCTTCGCTGCCGCTACACCGCCCCGGCCACCACGTCACACCCCTTCTGGAACTCTATGTCTTCGTCACCTCCAGCGCTCCAGTAGGGCTCCACCCCGCTTCTCCTTCATCGTCGTTCAACCCCTTTCTTCTGACTGTCCCGCCAGGTACCGTCCGCTACTGCTATACTCACCATGGCTGGCAACTGTTTGATGAATTGCCGGAGCTAATTTTTTCCCTTCTTCTTTCTAGCAATGGATTCTGATTTGGAGTACATATATGATCAGTATGTTGAGTCATCGGACGGCTCGTAAGAGGAGGAGGATTACTCCGATGAGACGACGATGACGCAGGCGGTCCTTGAAGACGCGGGGTGTGCGGAGGAGCTTGTTCTCAATTTCAAGGGCTCGATCAAGGGTCATCGAGTGCTCAACCGCAACAGGGCACATGACCAATTGACACTGATGACTGACTACTTTGCCCCCGATGCACTCTTCGCTGACCATTTTCGCTAGCGTTTTTGGATGCGCAAGACTATCTTTGATCATTTGTACCACGGTGTCCGGTCCTACGATGACTACTTCATCCTGAAGAAGGACGCTGTGGGAACAATTGGGTTCTCTGATTACCAGAAGTGCATGGCCGCACTCCGGATGCTTGCATATGGCACGACCACTGATTCGTGGGACGAGTACCTACGAGTGTCTGATAGCACATGCAGAGAGTTTTGCAACTACAGTTGTCGAGGTGTTCGGACCTCAGTACACGAGAGAGAACTAACTGTGGCAGACACAAAGAGGCTCTTGGCAATCTCAGAAGCAAGAGGGTGGCCAGCTTTGTTTGGATCTCTTGACTGCATGCATTGGAAATGGAAGAACTACCCGAAGGCTTTACAAGGGCAATATCAGGGTCATGTTAAGAAGCCCACCATAATTCTTGAAGCAGTTGCATCACAAGATCTTTGGATTTGACATGCTTTCTTTGGCATGCCCCGGTCTCACAATGACAACAGTGTGCTGCAGTGATCACCGTTGTTTGTGAGGCTGATTGAAGGAAAAGCTCCTCCTTGTCACCATACTATCAATGGACATGAGTACATGGGTTACTATCTGGTTGACAGTAACTATCTGGCCAGAAAAAAGGCTCACTTTTCCAAAGACAAGAAGCGGCTAAAAAGGATGTCGAGAATGCATTTGGAGTTATGCAGGCCCATTTTGCAGTTGTTCGTGGGCTTGCTAAACAATGGGATCTGAAGACCATGTTGGAGGTGCTGACATGTTGTGTGATCATGCACAACATGATCGTCGAGGATGAGGGTGATGATGCTGCCACAACTCTAGAATTTGAGAACACAGGTGGTCCTACCCAACTTATAGACCGAAATCCGACCACATTTGAAGAATTTATTCAAATGCATCAACAAATTCGGCATCGACCAACTCACAAGCAGCTGAAGGAAGATCTGATTGAGCATCAGTGGGGGGTCAAAGGGGGAAACAATGTTGGTATATAATATTTGAACTTTTTTAAATTTAAACTATCGCTGCATGTGGCTATTTGAACGCCTGTACACTTTGTATGGGACTATTTGATTGTGCGGATTAAAAAATAAGGAATGCCGGATGTATGCGCCTACGGTTGGATATCGGCCTCCCGCATACGTGTCCGCGGAAGGATGAAGGAGGAAATTTGTGGATTGCCGTTGGAGATGCTCTATGTTGGGTTCTACGGTAGGGTGCGTAGAATACAAATTAAAATTTTCCTACGCGCATAACAACCAAGAACATGCTACGGGAGATGGATCATAGATCATTACCACTAGATGCGCAGTGCCGTGCAGCGGAAGAAGAGTTGGGGCAGTGCGTCTGTGTGGATCGTCTCCTCCTCATCCGATCTCCCTCAAACAACCGCTCGCCGGATCCCATGTACAAGTTTGCCAGAGCGGTGCAGGTGCACCACCTCTAATGGTATCTGGGCGTGCATGAGGAACACCGTGCGGCTGATTGCTAGGTCAGATCACACAGTCGGCGGCGAGTGGAGGTGCCTATTCGCAACACATGCGAACCCTAGTGAAAGTGCTGAAGAGATCAACCAAATGAGTGTGCCGCACCCCCACTTTATATAGTCGTCCATCGCGGGCTCAACACTTGGGCCTTCCACGGACCCTAAAGCCCAAAATCTGTTCGGTCGGGATCCAAGTACAAGTAGGATCACATCTAACTCATGGAGTCGGATCAGGCCTCACAGGTTCCTTCCCTTAAGTGCGCGACCCCTTAGGTTCAAGTCAGCTTAGTCGCAGGTCAGATCACTTCCGACCTGCTTGGCTGGTAGCGGCCTCTAGCAAGGCGTGCCGATCACCAAGTAGACAATGAAGCCATTGGCGAACCTGTACATCACACTTTTATTCCTTTTGCCACACGATATATGTTGTCGGGCTCAAGGCGAGTCCTTGTGCTAACCCAACCTCTTTCTCGTTCCAGTGATGCCGACCACAAATTGGATCATCTCATAATCATTGTCGCATGACCATGCTTATCCTGGTCGGATCACACGAGGGCCCCAGAGTATATCTCTCCTAATCGGAGGGGCAAATCCCATCTTGCTTGACCATGTCTCCCAGCATGGGTATGAACAAGCCCGAAACCTACCTTTGTAACTACCCAGTCACTGAGTAGCGTTTGGTTGACCCAAAGCAAGTTTGTCAACATCCCGAGTACATGCGCCAGCTCAGGTCTTAGGACATAGAACATATGTTGTACTAGGGAGTCACAGATGACATATCACTGCGTCTCATTGTTGGGTCTGTCCGACTCGGACCTTATCTCAACTCGGATTCGACTACGTCGAATCCGACCAGATCCTTCCGAGTCCATATTATCCGGTTAGCGTCCAATGCTCCATGGCTAGTGAGACTAAGCCATCAACCGTGTCATATGCTAGTCTAGTCGGCTGAGCGTCCACACAACCCTTTCGACTAGGGACCTTTTATGACAGTCATCATACAATGCATAGTCCCACAAACAAGTCACGTACTTGCTAATACACATCATTGATAATGTACAAGTACTATCTTTATTCATAAACACATAGGAAATATCATCATACATGATTACCTCTAGGGCATATCTCTAACACCCTAAAGAAGGAGGCACATCGGCTAAAGTTGCCTTTTTTTACCATGTTATATGCAAAATAAAATGGGTCCCGATAACTGCCACACGTGTGGTGTATCGGGTA